TATTTTATATTATTCTGCATTAAAAATGCTGATCTCATATGCAAAGATTTAGCAAAAAGTCTACGAATTGATACTCCTAATTGTTATTTAAGTTTGACCATACTACATATTAGAGATGCAATTCAAGAAAGGCTGGTTTTAAGGCCGAGTCTTAAAAGAAGAAAGGAACACAAAGCCAAACTAGGTTTGTATGTAAACACAAACTTTGGGATACAGGGTATGGCACATATTTAAGCTGCTGAGTGAAGGGTATTCAAGAAAACCAGCACTCTAGCACAGGTAAGTTTTTCTATCCACAAATAACTAGAAGAAACCTCAGAATGTTTTGTCAGATTGGTAGTTTTCTCCATTCTAGTGTTCACTCACGCTATTTGAATAGGAGAATCGGTAAAAGGCAGATAAGCAGTTACTCTGCTTTTAAAACATGATTTGACACCTAATACTATAGAGAAAAATATACCTGTGCATTAAGCACACACATGAATCATCACTACTGCTCTGTCCTCAACTATGGCACATGCTAGGATGCCACTCATTACCAAACAGCACAGTCACAATTAAACAGATGTAAGAAAACATATAATCTCATAGATTGACAGGAAGAGTGTGACTTGTGTGCAAGGACAGCGTGGGCAATAGCCAGGCGCAGCAGACCTCTGTGATGGCAGTAAGGAGAGAAGAGGCAGCACCGAGAGTCACAGCACTGGGAAGAGAGGCAGTTCCAAAGGTTAATGCATCAGTCTGGCAAAGAACTTACTCTGCAAACAAACTTCTTGTCTTATGGTCGTAACCTACAAGTGCTGTCTACTTCCAAACTGTCTATTAATCATAACTCCCCCAAATCTATGCATCTCAAAAAACTGAAAAGGTGGCAGTAACTTTTGAAATGACAACAGAGCAGAACTGTTTAAATCCTGGGAACAAAGATTTATTGAAAGTATTTTTAAAAGACATATGAATCAATAAGTGTGAATCTGACTTCAAACACCTCTTTAAATTTTGGCTGAAGTCCAGAAGCTACGCAGCTTAGTCAAACCAGTGAGGGACAAAAACCCTATCAAATTCACTGAACCAATCTATTTTCCAGTCTACTTAGTTCTGTAACAGTGAAATGCACCCATGCTCACTCAGCCTAACATTATATTCTATTTAAATCTGTGGATTGGATTTATAATGTATGAGCTTTTCTCTTTCTCTTTTCGTTAAGGTCACAAGTAGCATATTGTGTTTGAAGTCAAAGAATTGCACACCAGGAAATGTGGAGATGGAACCATTTCACAGTCAAATTCCTCCACACTGCAAGTTAAGGAAAGAAAGCAAGGAGAGAAAAAAACAAGGTAGAGTTTACTCTACCTTCTGAGATAATTCTTCCCCTTTTTCCTACCCATGAAAAGATTCAGTATGTAGGAAGTGAATCCCATGACTGATTACATGATAACAAGATTTAGGAGGTTTCCTAACACACAGATGCTCTCAGAAACAATGCAGTATCAATTATGATCAGCTAAGGATATTAAATACCTCACAACTAAATCTGGACATTGAGTGTAGCTTTCTTTTCTGTGTTAAAAACATTTAAGACCGAAGAAGGAAACAAGAACCCATTATCTGAAGAGCTTACAATAGACTCAAACATGTCCCTTTGGTTCCAAATAGGTCAACTCAGGCAACAACATAAAAAAATTACATTACCAAGACTTATTTCAGTTGCAGTATATTCTCATGGTTTTAATAGTAACAATGCATTATTATATAGCGTGACAGTTGAGTACATGGTAAAAAAGGTCACATTAATGAACAGGAATTAAACCTCACATACAATGAAAGTGATTAAAGCATAGTATGTAACTAGTTACCCTAGTTTTCAGTATGTTTGTTATTCATTTAATAAATCGACAAAGTCTGACATTTTACTGCCAGCCGTGCAGTCAGGATGCATGTTACCAAGATACGGCCTTGCCCTCATGAAGGTGTAACATGGGAAGAAGTCAGTTAGTTAACGTCAGATATAAAGTAAATACAACAATCCCAAAAGCAACTTACCCCTGGTCTGGGCAGTGATAGGTAGACACGCTTCTCTCCTATGAAGAACACACACATTGATACCAAAATTTGTATGCAGATTTTAATCAATGGGAATAACATGCCTTATGTCATCCTTCCTGAAGTTGCAGTACTATAAAAGCAAATTACTTACCTGTAATTGCTCCTCTTTGAATACTACAGAGGATTGCCTCTCTGCCTCATCCTTCCAGACAGAGACAAGCCAAGAACTCGGTACTGTTCAGATTTTAGCCCTTGGTAATTGGCAGTTATGAAAGCTTCTCTGAACACTTTCCCTCAGAGAGATTTCTAGTCCCTTGAATGCAATCCACAAGTGAGCAACGAAACTCTCCCATGACTGAGCAGTTATCGCTACATGCACTCATTTTGTTGCAAAGTACAGAACATACAATGGTAGTTCCACCTAAAGTTTTTCTCAGCATGGGTTGGATGGTATAAAATTTGGAGTACCAATGCTACTAACAATGCTAGTGAGAAATATCTAGGCAGGTTTTTCTAAGTAATACCGATAAAATCCTCATGTTGTACTGTACTATACATATCCCACATGCACTGTATTTTATTAATAAAGAAAGCTCTATAGCACTTTGCACACTTATTTAGTTATTTCTTATATCCCCAGGAGCCACAGATATTCCAAGCCTGAGTGAAATAACTGGAGGAAAAACCACCCTTTTAGGTGTTACCTGAAAGTGGGTAAGAAGAGGTTATTGACAAGAGCAAACAGTGCCTGGGCTAACAGCCATGGATTAGAGCTCCAGTAACCTTAAGTCAAATAAAGTCTTTAGAGCTAAGATTCAGGAGAGGAATGTCTGCTAAATAAAATAAAATAAAAAAACAAAACAAACAAAAACCCACAAAAAAACCCACAAAACAAACTCAAGAACTAGTGAAAAATAGATTTTACCTGAAGAAACAAAGAGCTACTATAATGGATATCAGTACCAGGTTTGCATGGAGATGATGCACCTTGACAAAGGACAAGCAACAAATCTCCCTACAATTGCTATTTCCTTCTCTTGTGTCAGCTCCTAGAGAAATTCCATTCTGAGTCTTCAGAAGACAGTTCTCTTATGCATTCATGATTTTTTGAAAGTATGCTCTTTATCTCCTGACACTACAGAAAGATCATGAGCTCCATGACTAGGCAACTGACTTCTAAAAAACAAATTTCAGTAAGTTGAATAGTGTCCCTCAACCCTCTTGATAAGTATGAAAAATGGTATTTTTCCTTTCTAAGACCACCTCTTCCTTCTCCTAGCTAGTTTTGTGAAAGATGAAATGAGCTATCAGGGCACAAGCTGCCTAACTATTTTTTTCAGAATACAGAGTTATTCAGATATTATTTGCCCAAACATGCATCCAAGCAAGGTTTCTCCCTAAAGACTGATATAAATTTTGAGAGGTGATTTACAGCGTCCTATGTGTCGAAATATCACCTAAAAGGCATGTAAGAAAGCATATAAGAAGCACCAAGAACAAAAGCTAACTTTTAAGTTTAAAATGCTGTAGCATAAAACATCTCCTTGGTGTTATGTAAAAACCTATTGCATCATGTTAAAAAAAAAGTTCAAACACAGAAAGCTTTGATATAACAAATAGAATACAAACACATACTGAGAGGACATACTACTCGCACGCACAAAGTGGGCATTCACAATTATGGAAACCAAATGGAAAGAGGTGGTAAAGAGAAATAAGAAAAAAACAATTATTTATGCTCTTCGAGCAATTCCCATTATTTGTTTTTGCAAGGTTTAGTTGCTCACCATATTCAGAAAGAGGAAGGATCTCACTATTTATTTACTGGAACATTTAAAAAAACCCAAACCAAAACACCCCCCCCCACACACACAAAAAAAACACCCACAAAAAATACTAGAAAACACACACACAAAAAACCCACCTCACTGGACTTACAGATACCAGACCTTTCAAAAGCACACATCAACTCAGGCCAGAGATAATCCTACTTCATCGGAAAATACTTAATTACATCAGTATAATATAACAGAATTTATATTTGATTCCATTAACGGCATACGCATACGTATTTTTTCAGGTATTTCATTTCCTTAGTTTGTAAGTTAGATCTTTGCTGTAATAGCAAAAGACTTTTTGCCATATTATAATCTTCCTTTTATTTATTCCAGTCTGCCTTTGTTTTTCCTAATGTTTCCTTTTTCTTTTTGTCATTTAAAATTAATTTTTATTATTTCGTTCTCTTTGTCTTCCTGTTTCTGCTTTCTAGTATTTCCAGCCATGTTTTCTCCTCGAAAATCTCTTTATTTCGACTTCCAAATCCTGTTTTTGATTTCACTTTATATCTGAGAGTAAGACGGCTGCATCTCTGCTTCACCCTTCCTTCTAGAACTCCAGCCTCTAAATTCTGAAGTTCTGATCTGTATCCTCTACTCAGCAACTACAGCCCTCCCAAATCCTCATGGTCATTTAACTCCTCTCAAACCAAGCGGGCAAAACAAGAGAGGAGGGCAGAAAAGGAAGTTCTCTTCATAAATCATTCTCTCACTTCTGACCAAGTTACAAGGAGCAATCAGGGCATTATTCACATTATTCTCCAGCATGCTGAAACAAAAAAGTTAGGAAAAAAAAGAGATCGGTTGACATCCAACAGACTGGATCAATGAGAGGTGCTTTCATTAGGTGATTCATCTGAAAGTGCTAGAGCCTCGAAGTTCAGTATCTAACCTAAACCAGCAATTCTGAGAGCAAACCCATGCCTCCCCGGCTGACCCAGACCTCCCAGTGGACAAGAGGTCCAGAGGAGCCGGGACTCTCCCCAGCCCACAGCAGCCATGCGACGTTCCAAATGCCAACACGGTGCTGAACGGGGCTCCTCAGCGTTGGGTTAAAAGGTGGGTTAGGATTAAGCAAAAGAGGCCCAGCTCTACCTCACTGCCCAGTTCTGCACAGCGCAGAGACGTTTTCAGAAGACACGTGAGGGTTACTGGGCTGCGGTGTGCTCACTGACCTCTCCCACCCCATGTAGATGGGCACCCCCTCCCCAGGACGAGCCTATTTCAATTTGGGCAAGACGTGGTGCAATTACATTAAACTTGAGGAAAATACAGCTTCATTTCCAAGCTAAATCTGGCTCTCTATCTCTGTGAGTTTTGAACCTCAGTATGAGAAATATCATATTTGCTGATATGAAAGAAACGCTGGATGAGGAGTTACGCAATTGCTCGTGAAAATAGAGAAATTAGTATAAAAAACACGAATCTATCAGAAAAATGCTTCTTTTATTTGATGTGTCCAGCACATTTAGTCACCATTCAATTTTTGCCTCTTAAGCTGTATTCTGAACTCTCTAACAAAGCCAAACATTTAAATTGGTAGTACAAAAATACAAGTTTTTAAACTGAGGAGAAAAAAATATATACCTTCTTACTGTAATTCTATCTTGTTACACACAATCACAATTCTACTAGGAATAAAGCACTTGTTACATTTTCGTCTGTAAAATAAAGACTTTTACCCAACCTCAACATTAAGACAAGCATCATGAGTTACAAGAATAAAAAAATCTTGTAAAATATTGTGAAACTCCATTGTGTTTGGAGGCAAAAGTTTTGTGAATGCCACTCTTACAATCTCTTAGCAAACAAATATTTTAGTTTAATTTATTCATTGGGTCATCAGTCATGTTTTCTAGGAGGAAAAAAAAAGGTTGAAAACAGCAAGGTAACTTTAGGATATCTTCTGGTAGTAAAAAGGTGGGGGTATTTGGGTGAGATTTTTTTTTCCTTTTTTTTTTTTTTTTGACAAGATTCATTCTGAAGTCCAACAACAGAAAACAAGCAAACAAACAAAAAAAAAAAAGATTAGCCCACCAGAGGAAAACTTTCTAGAAGACAGGTGGATATAGGAGACCAAATAATTTATAAGGAGATAACTGACTGTTAATACGAAACAAAAATTCAGAGGCTTGGCCACGAGACAAGGAAAATGGAGACATTCTTTCTTAAGCATCATTTTGGTAAGACCTAATGCACCCTGGGCCATATAAAGAACACAAGCTACACTCACTATCTTACTAATGGTGGTATCAGAACATTTTACACTGAAGGAAAGACTGAGGAAATGAGACACTAACAAGAACATACTCATCTGGCTATGCCAAACAGGAGAAGATAGTCTTCACTGCACCCAGGCCCACACACGCTACAGCCTCCAACATGCTCAGCAACACCTACCCATTCTCTTCTCTCTCCTTCAAGCAATGACATTGGGTTGCCTTGTGAAATGATGCTTTAAAGAAACTGGAAAGTATCACTTGTGGAAAATGTCTGTTATCTGCTGTCAACAGCCACAAGAGAAGAGAAAGTTACCAACTACAGGAGAGGTTGGGAATCTGCCGCAACACTTCCAAGAACTATTTGTTTGGAGAGCCATGTATAGGCTTTGCTGTGGCTGCATGATTCTCATCCTATTATTTTTAAATACAGTAATATATATATATGTATACACACACGCACACACACATATGCAAAAAGGTTATAATTCAACTCTGCATGAATATGAAAAAAATCAGATACTGCATGATCAGCCCTGCAAATTCCAAATTTATCATAACACATCAATATTAGAGTAATATCTTATTTTAAGTTGCATTATATAAAATTCAATGTTATGTTTAAAGAAAGTCAGTATGTCCTTGGCTCCCGAAACAAACAAAAAACCCACTGAAAGTTAAAAGGCCCATAAACAGAATCTCTGATGGCTACACATCTTTATATGGCATTCCAGACCAAGGTGGAAGAACAAGTAGGATAACTATCATGTTTTTCTCAGACATCTCAAATTCCCAATAATGTGCGCTACACACAATTATTGTAAACCCACTCAAAGTTTCAATACATGTTTTCCTTTTACAAGTCTTCAGGCTTGGACACACATTCATCTAGCAAGCAGCAGCAACAATTTAAGATATTACTACCCTGTGGTTGGTTGTTTACTGTCCTCACAAAAAAGCTGGCAGAAAAGAACTGCTTACACAAAAACCTGATCAAGTACAGAAAGCTAAACTGACAAAATAAACTAAAAATGGAAAAAGGTCTCACATTAACAGCAAGATGAAGTATTGTGTCATTGATAAAGTGTCATCTAACCTGAATAAGGCTTTACTTTTTCTGTATCTTAGATACAAAAAAAATGAAGTCCCTGTATTTAACTAGATCTAAACTTTTAAACCTGAGTGATTTTCTTAAAAATACAAGACATTCAGTATTATTATATATTACATTCTATCTGTATGCAATTATACCTTAAAGACTGAAACAAACACGTAGCCGCAAGTATGACAGGCTACACCAAAGCCATCATCTGGAAAAAAATTTGTTAGACAAAAATGAAGATAAAATGGCTTTCATTTTAAAGACAAATTACCCTATGCTAAAAGTAAACACAGAATTTTTTTCTTAAGATTCCAAGATTGTCTTCTACATGTTGTACAAATACCAATAAACTTACCAACCAGAGAAAATATCCCAAGATTGTGCAGAGTCGTCAGAGATTCCATCCAGGAGAAAGGACAGCAGTTTAAAAATCAAATAACTACATTCACTACATTATGAAGTGAATACAAGGCAAGCTGACAGTATAGAATATATATGCGTATACATATTTCCCAGAAATACAGGAAATCAATTAAACACGTCACACAGTTCAAGTTATATCTCCACTGTCATGAACAGATATGTCCTAGGGAAACTAAAAGGCGGAGGGAAAGCCCTACATCCCTAATATTTGGACACTGCTGGAAAAGAGCAGTGTCGAATACTTTTGTGTCCTTTGAACAGTTCCTTTTGATTTTGCTGGAACTAATCACAGTGCAGAAAGCTAAACATATCTAATTTGACACAAATCAGGCCTTCAAATTTTTGGCTCTTTTCTTTGGAAAAAATCCATTAAGCACCTTAACTCGACATCTATACAAAACCAATGTGTTTGTGTATTGCCACCTAGATTCCACATTTCCATACAGAATGTTTACTGTGCTCCTCAGAAAACAGTATTTCCTAGTATTTCTTAGACTACACATTTTGAAAACTACATTTTTCTATTTGTACATAGCATTCTTACCTCTTCTTCCTTCAAACACATCATTGATTTCTCTTAACAACATAGACATGTCACTCAGTTGAGACTCCCAGGCCTCACAGAACACCTCAAGATTTTCTTTTGCAATCTTGCTAGATGGATGTAATGCCAGTGTTTCTGCAGCAGAAATTATCTGGACAGAGAACAAAATATTTGTTATTGGAAGTCCTAGCACATAGTGTTGCAGAAGAGTTCACAAATGCCTTTAAAGGGAAAACACAAAATTAAGCTGTTACTGTTAATGTCTTTGTAGAGTACTCATTTGATATTTGCAGGCTTGATGATCTTCTTTGTCCATTCTTTTAGCTACCACCCAACATCAAAGTGTAACTCTTTCTTAGAACTGCTTTGAACAGTTCAACAGTAGGTCTCCAAAACATCCATATAAGTAATTTTTATTGATTCATGCCCAGTAGACATGGCCAGATAAAAGGTAAGCATACCTGCGGGCCAGTGACCTGAAAGGTATCTTCTGCATGTATGCAAGTAATCTCAAGGGGCTCCGTTCCAGAAACATGCCTCAATAAGCGACACATCTAAATATTTTTTATAAACATAAAGAGAAAAGAATGGTAAAAAATATGTTTTCATTACTAGTGAGACAAGGTGCATGTGCACAAACACACACACAAAGTTATTGATAGTCCTATCAGAATCTTATTGAAGACCACATAGCTGGGTGTTTCTCAGGGAGCATTTACAATGAAAACAAGGCTAAATCCTGACTTGGAATGTGCAGAATATTACCAAGAGAAAGAAAAGTCTTAATAAATAAATAAAAATAAAACAATAACAATTTCACATACTTATGACTGAATAAACCTGAAAGTACTCAGACACCTATGCAATTTGGCAAAACTGTAGCATGAAGTGACCTTGTCTAAACAGGCTTACTCAGCAATCAGCAACCATATGGAAAATTTAGGCTTTCATCATCTAGGGGACTGAATTATCTTTGAGGAAATCAGCATCAAGTTAATTTATGGAAGAAATACCACTTCTCTTCACAATAGGCAAAATGTAGAATTGTAGTAATCCTTTTTTTTTTTAAAATGTAAGATTAAGAGTGAACTAAAGAGTGGGCTAAGAAGGAACATCAAAGTGTCCAGATCAAAAGGAGAATTTATAAGACAGAGACAGCACATATGAAACTAACTGCACTGTCCATGATCAGAAATGCTATAAGGCCTCACATAAAAACGCTGTAAAACCTCATAGTTATGCTTGAAAAAGAGATCAGTGTCTCACTGGAACTCTAATTACTCACAGAAAAAGGGGACATTAAAGCCAAAATTAAAAAGGCACAGCATTGATTTGCCAGTCCCAGAAGTTTAAGGTGTTGCTTCTGCATATTCATACTTCTGGAATAAATCCTCAAGCCCCATATATCAGAATTGTTTAGAAACTAATGAGTATTAGATGCCACGCAAGCATAGCGGCTGGCATCACCACGTTCCAGACCAAAGTGTATCTTTGTGTGTCTCCTACTGGTACAGTTACTTCTGCTCTTCTGTCAGAGAGAGCAAGAAGGTATACGTGGCAGACATCCTCTCCACAGGCACTCCTAAGAGCCATGATCCCTCAGTAGTCTTGGAAGTCCTATTTGTTTACATGTGTGAATACTACCATATGAAACCATGAATGTATTAGTACATGAAACATACACAGTCCTTTTCACCCAGGAGAAAAGATTTTCAGTGGCCCTCTTGACTGACAAAAACTACACAAGATCTTCAAAACAGTCAAGTTCACTGCATTAAGAATCTTAACCTTACATTCCCACCACTCTTAAAACACGTCTTTGGATTCGGCTGTTGCTGGACGCCTACTGCTTGAAAGAAAAAGGCCATCATCTCTACTTGGATCTTGAAACCTACTTTTTAAATGAATATTTTAGCCTCAATATATACATATAAATTAAGTCTAGATCCAGGAAGAGAATTGGGTACGATTGTGCGTCCTTTCTACAACACCTATATGCCACAGTGACACCTCTGGCTCAGACCCTACCAAGAACAATACAAAATTCAACAGTATCCTAGGAAGACAAAATAAAAATTACAAAAACAGACCAAAGCCTTCCTAAAGAATAGATTAAGACAAATCCAGCCACTCATTTTCTAAGTGCCTTACAAAATGAAAGCAGCGGTGAACTCACCTCAACAAGTTGTTCTTTCTGCTCTGATAGCTTGCAAGTATATTCTGCTACAGCTTCAAGATTTCCTTCTACTCCTGTGATTTTTAATGCTTTGAGAACCATATGATCCATATGGTATTTTAGCAGATCTGCTGCCAAAGATGTTGCTGCACTGTGGACCTTGAGAAGCATAAAAAGAAGGAGAGATAAAACTTGGAAGGAAAAAAATTCATCCAGTACCAAGTTAAATAAACTTAAGAGACAGACTGATTTTTCCAAGAAACAAAAAATTTACTGCCATGGAAGCTCATATACAGCCTGCATACTATCTGGGGCTTTAATTCTTCAAGTACTATTCAAAGTACAAAGATAAAACCCACTGCACTCAAAAAAAAACCCCTCACAACCAAATACAGAGAGAAACAAAAGAGCAGCTGGGTAAAATGAGGATACGAAGTTATCACACTGCTGCTTTCTGATAATATTACAGCTGGGAAAAAAACAGGTGCATGAATTTGAGGGGCATCAATTTCAGCATAAGCATGGCACAATAGCTACTCCACTTCTCATGAAGAATACACATTAAACTGTGTGAATCAGACTGAAGCCACACAGCATTTGAGTTTATAATATACTAGAAATTAAGTTCCTATTAATAAACTGAATTCTCAGTGATGTAAAGAAAAGTTTGAATATAATCATCTTGTGACATAGCCTTAGAAAAGTAAGAAGCGTCTTTTCTGCAAGAAGACTGAAGCCAGAGATGGATCTTGGAGAAGTCTCAAACACTCTCCCTGCACTCACAAGCAAGGAGAAGCTTCCCCTTGAAACACATCCCTAAATCCAGACACACTTTCAGACCCGTGGATCTGCTAAAATTCATCTGTGAAGGACTCTACTTGATAATAGCTATCAGTGACAGCTGCTGCTAGTTCCAGTGACAAGTCATAGCAGGTTTACCTAGGCCCTGTAATCAGCCCCATTTTAAAAACATAGGTAAAAACAAAATAGCAACCTCATTAGAAATAGCAGAGCACTCATATGCTCATAAGACTACTCTAAGTCTCGTAATACTACATTGACTTTGCTGGACTGCACTGAATATACAACAAACTTGGCTATTCAAGAATAAAGTTATTTTTCAAGTTCTTATGAATGCAATGAACTTGAAATTGTGACACTGGTAGGGCTTGACTTTGTAGAGAAGAGAATGTTTGCTAGGACAGTATGTTACATTTTTCATTCCACTGGAATTCCCCCTCTGTAGAGAAGAGAATGTTTGCTAGGAAGTACGTTACATTTTTCATTCCACTGGAATTCCCCCTTTCCCTGGCAGTACTTCCTGTGCAGTCCAGAATTAAGAGGTTTTTTTGTGATTTTTTTGTGTTGTTTTTTTTTTTTTTTTATTTCAGGCAAGAAATCTGAATTGTTGCCTCAAAACCTGCTACGATTGTTTTTTAGAGGGAAAAAAAGCTATGACAGCCTGTTACAAACTATTTATATAGTGTTGCTCACATGCCGTTAAAAATTATCACAAGCCACTAATCTCGGAAATTAAGTCAGCTCTGAAGAAAGGATATCTGCCAGGCTTCTAATGTTAGAGTAGGAACTGCAAATTCTCATTTATATATAGGCTACATAGAGATTACCTTTTCATTAGAGATTCTTTTCATCCTGATCTAAAAAAGAAATCTACTTAATGTTGTCTCTGATCACTAGCAGGAAAACAATCTCAAGGAAGAAACATACCTTTCTTTCTTCCATGAAGTGACAGAGATGGGAAAGAACTACTTGAACAAGGCTCTCATGTTCTCAGCCACTCAGACTCTCAAAACCATTTTAATTAGAGTCACAATATTTAAATTTCACCAATAGATCTCCTGGTTGCCAACTGATAGATACACTGCAGCACCTGAAGTCAGGCTGACAGGACAGTCCCTCTCAGCCATGCACAGAAGTATGGCTACTCTGGGATCAATCCAATCACTACACAGAGTACAAGGGAAATGACATAATACTTCAAATTTACTTCCACAAGCAGCATGAATGCTGTGCATTTTCAAAAAGCTCTTACTAAGCACGCTTTCATACTCTACAGGTCACCAAAGTCAGCCATACAGAACTTAGGATTTGTTAGTTCAGAAATCCACACAATTTGCTCTACAGTGGCTAAACCACCACGCTACGTTTTCACATGCATTGCTTTTAGTATGGAGCTGTATCACAGGGCACAGGTAACCCACTATATTTTGTATTTTATGCCACCTCTGTTAGCTGGTTTACAGAAGGTAATTGTCTATTATTGGCACCTGACAAAATTCTTTAACTTAGGTGTGGTAAATGTGTAGTCTTTGTTGCATGACATTTTCAGAAATAGAAACCTGTGGGTAGGATAATATGTAAGTGTTACTTAATTTCTTCCACATGCAATATTCCAGCCACCTTGGCTTAATGATCTACACAATTACATGGTCATGTACTATTTTGACTGGTAACTCTTCCCGCCCATTCAGCACACAGAAGTGACGTTACTCAAAAAAGGGTGAGCTTATAGTTAAAGCGGCTGAACCTCACTCCGGAAAAGCTCTGCTACTGACTTCCTACATAATAGTGACCAAAGAAAAAAACTATTAATCAAAGTGCACAAATTATGCATCCTCCATTTTCTGGGAGCTCAACACACTGTCTGACAGCAGAAGCACAAAGCACTTAACTGCAACTGAAATAGACTCAAAGCGCTGTTCAAATCTTCAGGACAGCTGTCAGAATAATAAGCTGGAATAGGAAACTTCTCATTTTGCTTCTATTAAAAAATATTGGCATGATTTTTTGAGCAGTCAAGGTTTCCCAGCTACAGCAGCTGTGAGCGCAGTCTAAGCAAGTTCAAGTTCACTATACTTCTCTAACATCTTTGCTCCACTCTGTAGCCTAGTATTGAAACTTCACTGTTCTCAGTCTCCACTTCTCCATCTGTTTAAAGGAACAATAATGTGAAGCAACTGAAAAGATACCCAAACGCTTTGCAAATATGTTGGAAGCTGCCAGAGATCAGTAATTCTACATTTGGCTCAAATTTATGGAACAGACGATGCAGCAATGTTATCCGTTAATAGCAGGGGGAAGGACCCTGATCAGCAAGTACAGTCCATCCCATGCACCAAAGGAGGCAGCTATCTCGGATGACTATGTAGGTTGACACCCAGGACGCTTGCATTTAGAAAAAGAATGATTTACAACAGGCACATACATAGCTGCCAACTGTCTATAAAAATATGTGATTATAAGTCAAGAGAATAAAGAACTGCCCACTGTAGGAGATCAAGTCTGAGACCATCTAAGGAACCTGAAGGTGCACAAGTCCATGGGACCTGATGAGATGCATCCACAGGTCCTGAGGGAACTGGCAGATGAAGTTGCTAAACCATTATCCATCACATTTGAGAAGTCATGGCAGTCCAGCGAAGTTCCCACCAACTGGACAAGGGGAAACATAGCCCTCATTTTTAAAAAGGAGAAAAAAAGAAGACCCAGGCAACCACAGACCAGTCAGTCTCATCCCTGTGCGCAGCAAGATCACGGAGCAGATCCTCCTGGCAACTATGCTAAGGCACATGGGAAAAAAAAAGGAGGTGACTGGTGACAGCCAACATGGCTTCACTAAGGGCAAATCATGCCTGACATGTTTGGTGTCCTTCTACGATGGGGTTACAGCACTGGTGGATACGGGAAGGGCAACTGACATCATCTACCTGGACTTGTGCAACACATTTGACACTGTCTCCCATGACATCCTTGTCTCTAAATTGGAAAGACACAGATTCAATGGATGACCCACTCGGTGGATAAGGAATTGGCTGGATGGTCACACTCAAAGAGTTGCAGTCAACAGCCCAATGTCTAAGTGGAGACCAGTGATGAGTGATATTCCTGAGGGGTCAGTATTGGGGCCGTGCTGTTTAACACCTTTGTTGGCTACGTGGACAGTGGGATTGAGTGCACCCTCAGCAAGTTTGCAGATGAGAACAAGCTGCGTGGTGTTGTGGACACACTGGAGGGAAGTGATGCCATGCAGAGGGGCCTTGACAGGCTGAAGAGGTGGGCCCATGTGTTGAACCTCATGAAGTTCAACAAGGCCAAGTGCAAGGTCCTGCACATGGGTCAGGGCAATCCCAAGCACAAGTACAGGCTGGGCAGAGAATGGATTGAGAGCAGCCCTGAGGAAAAGAACTTGGGAGTGCTGGTGGATGAGAAGCTCAACATGAGCCAGCAATGTGTGCTTGCAGCCCAGAAAGCCAACCGTATCCTGGGCTGCATCCAAAGAAGCGTGGCCAGCAGGTCGAGGGAGGTGATTCTGCCCCTCTACTCTGCTCTCATGAGACCCCACGTGGAATACTGTGTTCAGCTCTGGAGTCCCCAACACAAGAAGGACATGGAGCTGCTGGAGAGAGTCCAGAGGAGAGCCACGAAGATGACCTGAGCACTGGAGCACCTTTCCTGTGAAGACAGGCTGACAGTTGGAGTTGTTCAGCCTGGAGAAGAGAAGGCTCCGGGGTGATCTTATAGCGGCTTTCCAGTACCTAAAGGGGGCCTACAGGAAAGCTGAAGAAAGACTTTTTACAACGGCGTGGAGTGATAGGACAAGGGCAATGGCTTTAAACTGAAAGAGGTTAGATTTAGATTAGATATAAGGAAGAAGTTCTTTACTTTAGAAGTGGTGAAGGTGGTGAGCCTGAAACAGTTTGCCCAGAGAAGCTGTGGCTGCCCAACATCCCTGGAAGTGTTTGAGGTCAGGCTGGATGAGGCTTTGAGCAACCTGATCTAGTGGAAGGTGTCCCTGTCCATGGCAAGGAGTTTGGAACTAGATGATCTTTAAGGTCCCTTCCAATCCAAACCATTCTATGATAAGTACAAACAAACAGCATATGTAATTTATTCATTTAAGCACACACTACAAAAAAAAAAAATTTAAAACAGAGATGCGTGCATCCCCAAGGAAAGTTTAGCCTTTACATTTAAAGTAATGATTATATACATAGTACTTATTTCCAAACACTTCTTTTTTTTTTTATGTTCAGAATTAGCAAAGAGCCTACACATACAGCAGATTTCTAATCAGTTCTAACTAAGTACACAGAAGATGGCTGCATACTAGCTCCCTGGTGTAATTCTGATTTAGCTACTCTTGTCTATAAATAGATACTAGCCTTTTTGGGTACAGGATCCTGTTTTACAACTTCATATACAAGTTAGAAATTCAAGCTTTTATTCAGTTCACGCTTGCTTAAACTAGACTTACCTCCCTTTTAAGCTCATTCATGCACTGGCATGTTTTTAAAATGGCTACTTCCAAGTCTTCCATGAGATCCTTGGTCTTCTGGTTTTGCTACAAGCCAAATACAGCAACCGACAAAACATTACACAAAAAATCCAGCAAATCCCACCTTCAAATCATGTGTCACTACTTCGAGTTGCTTTAGAAGACAGCCTTTTCTTTCTAGATGTAACGTTTTCATTTGCACATCCTATGTATATTCCACTTGAAAAATTCTTTTATAGAAACATTTACCACCAAATCAAATCTAAAAATAATAGTGATGCACTAATTGACTGCTTCTGTTCAACAAGAATTTCTTTCTAAACTTCACTGAGGTTTTTCAGGAAATGGGATTCCTTATGCTTCATAACTTCCAACAAATCTGTCTAAACTTCCTAAAGTAGGCTTTTTTTTTCCAATATAAGCATCCTTTTAAAATAAAGCTGTACCTAAAATGTTATACCAAATGTTCTATATTGAATTACAAAAAGGTTACTTAAAGCATCCTTTTAAGACTTTAGATCATTGTCTAATTTAAACAAGTACAGCAGCTAACAACATTCTGTCAAGGTGGCCTCAAGACAGAGCTTCCACTTCTGCAGATAGCACCTATCAATGGAACAACCCAAATGTCAAAGAGTCATACACCGGGAAAAGAGCTAAGTAGCAGTGATTTTGCATTTTCCTCCAAAATATACTGGATATAATTATGTGAGGTGGGACCATTAACATGGCCATAGCTGCAAAACAATGAGCCCCTCATAGTCTAAAGTAACATAAACATACACACATAAAATATATGTAGGTATAGACACACACTCCCTCAATTTTATTTGAAGCAAAAACAACTCATCCAAGCCAATATGATAATTTTCTCAGGTATCCTTATCTGTTCTAAGTCTCAAAGCTACCTGTCCCTCAAAATTAATGCTTTAAGTAATTTGTGTAGATTTATTCATAGATTTCTAGGTTGGAATTTAATGCTTTAAGTAATTTGTGTAAAAGCATAACATCACAAAATCACTTTTAACACCTGGAGCATAATGCTTTACACTCTACTAGAGCATGATTTTTAATTCTTTTACTTAATATGGACTTTTTTGCTGCTTCTATGTGCAACTGTCTTTTTAAACACAA